CATTTTAAACAAGGTATAACTTGGTTTCAAGTAGATCCTAGCTGTTTAACCATCGACAATGTAAAACATCAACTTTGCCCAAATTTGGCGACATTTTGCAGTCCCGTGTCGGTTGTCAACAATTCGGCCTCTATCTAAGCCATTGTCTTTTGTATCTAAGCCATTTGCATTCAATAACGACAAATTTAACACTATGTTAAGGGTATTAAAATTAAAAAGACAAATGAAAAATGCGAAATGCATCATTTTATCGCCCTGTAATGTGTTGCTCACGAGTCTTTCAAAACATTTCGTACAAATCTCGCGAGGGCAAAGCAACATGCCGTGACAGGGGGGTGAATGTTTTTTCGCGAAGATTGAAGAAGGCTGCGTGTGACAATAGGGAACCCAAGCTGACGTAATTCACTTTAGTTCAAAAGTGAAAGCTAACTCTAAAATACATCCTAAACTGCACTTTTATATACTGAATACTACTTTTCTAAACTAATAACGCATATTTTTCTACCTTTTTTCTACAACACTACTAATCAATAATAATGTGATAATTTACACCTGCCTCTCACCCAGAGGCGCCGGAATATCGATAATTGGGGGGCAGATATTCATGTATTCGTGTTCTGCCCAATTAATTTCTTTTGAAATCGATTGTTTTTACAGTCTGTGCACACGAATATATGAATATCTCCCCCCTTAATCTGACCGTAGCAATTTCCGTGGAACCGCCTGCGTGGCCGAAGGCCACGGCTCGCCTGGAGAGGGGGGGGTACGGGGACATTCCCCCCGGAATATTTTTGAAATTTAATCCCCGGAAATGCCGTTTCCTGCGTTTTGGGCAGCAGATTCTGTTCTAAAACTTGCCCTTAACCAGGCCAAACTTTAGACAAAAAGTAACAAAAGTACACACAATAACTGATAAATATTTAAACATACCATGTTCTCCGGTGAACAATACAACATCAGAGGGCAATCACCTTACACTTACTTACATACGACCACAACTCCAGACTGTAGACCAGGGCAGGCACCCATGTCGCATGCCAATTTCACACGCTGTTCCCTGTTGTATCACAGATTCGGCTGTAGTTCAGGTATCCATGTTGAAGTTTCTAAACCAGTAATCATCAAGCGTCTTGACTTAGAAAAATCTCCGTCCGGAATATCGTACTCATTTCGGTGTTTCAGTTACTCCGTAGGTCTTTTACGAGGCAGGGTTTCCGACCCAGTGACCAACCCTCCTCCTTTTTCATCCGGGCTTGGGACCGGCAATGGCGGAGTTAGGGAGCATCTTGCAAGGACGTGATTAAGTAAAATAGCGTCAGTAGAGAACATTGTTCACTGTAGATCATCTTGAAACAGCAGCACGAAGGAAGTTAAGTAAACGTTCAAAGGTACCGTAAATCATATTGAAAAGCAACACAAACGAAGATAGAAAAATGTATACCCTTATAAATTATATTAAAACAGCAAGACAACGCCATCTCACAGCAGATAGAAAATGTTCATTGTAAGTAATTTTGAAACCGCAGCACGAATTAAGGAGGCTAAGTAAATGTTCACTATAAATCATCATCAAACAGCAGCACGAAGGAAGTTTAGTAAATGTTCACTGTTCAGTAACTCATCTTGAAACAGCAGCACACAGGAAGTTAAGTAAATGTTCACTGTAAATCATCATCAAACAGCAGCACGAAGGAAGTTTAGTAAATGATCAGTAACTCATCTTGAAACAGCAGCACACAGGAAGTTAAGTAAATGTTCACTGTAAATCATCTTCAAACAGCAGCACAAAGCACAATAACCAGTCACTCAGTTGTAGTTCAAAATTAGACGACTTCTTTCCCAATATCCAAATTCAGGTTCTTTGTCCATAAGATGGTTTATACGGGCAAGGCACATTGCATTTGTTCCAACAAGTTTGTGATAGATTTAGGGCTAGACTACTAGTGTATCTTGAACCAGCAGCACGGCAAAAACAGTATAATGATTAATGTATAGATTATCTTGAAACAGCAGCACCGCAGAAAAAGAAAATGTTCATAACGATTAATGTAGTTCATCTTGAAATAGCAGCTCATGCAGCAGAAACAGTTATAATGATTAATGTAGATAATCTTAAACCAGCAGCATAGCAGAAAAAGGAACATGTTGGTAATTATCAATGCAGATCTTGTTGAAACAGCAGCACGGCAGAAAGAAGATAATGTTGATAATGATCAATGTAGATCTTCTTCAAACAGCAGCACGGCAGAAAAAGGATAATGTTGATAATGATTATAATGTAGATTATCTTGAAACAGCGGCACGGCAGAAAAAGGTTAGTGTTCATAATGATTAATGTAGATCTTCTTCAAACAGCAGCAAGGCAGAAAGAGCATAATGTTGATGATCAATGTAGATTTTCTTGAAACAGCAGCACGGTAGAAAAAGGATAGCGTTCATAATGATTAATGTAGATCTTCTTGAAACAGCAGCACGGCAGAAAAAGGATAATCTTGATAATGATTATAATGTAGATTATCTTGAAACAGCAACACGGCAGAAAAAGGATAATGTTGATAATGATTATAATGTAGATTATCTTGAAACGGCAGCACGGCAGAAAAAGGTGATGTTGATAATGATTATAATGTAGATTATCTTGAAACAGCAGCACGGCAGAAAAAGTATAGTGTTCATACTGATTAATGTAGATCATTTTGAAACAACAGCACGGCAGAAAAAGGATAATGTTGATAATGATTATAATGTAGATTATCTTGAAACGGCAGCACGGCAGAAAAAGGTGATGTTGATAATGATTATAATGTAGATTATCTTGAAACAGCAGCACGGCAGAAAAAGTATAGTGTTCATAATGATTAATGTAGATCATCTTGAAACAGCAGCACGGCAGAAAAAGGATAAACTTGATAAAGATTATAATGTAGATTATCTTGAAACAGCAACACGGCAGAAAAAGGATAATGTTGATAATGATTATAATGTAGATTATCTTGAAACGGCAGCACGGCAGAAAAAGGTGATGTTGATAATGATTAAAATGTAGATTATCTTGAAACAGCAGCACGGCAGAAAAAGGATAGTGTTCATAATGATTAATGTAGATCATCTTGAAACAGCAGCACGGCAGAAAAAGGATAATCTTGATAATGATTATAATGTAGATTATCTTGAAACAGCAGCACGGCAGAAAAAGGATAGTGTTCATACTGATTAATGTACTTCATTTTGAAACAGCAGCGCGGCAGAAGAAGGATAATGTTGATAATGATTATAATTGAGGTAGATTATCTTGAAACAGCAGCACGGCAGAAAAAGGATAGTGTTCATAATGATTAATGTAGATCATCTTGAAACAGCAGCACAGCAGAAAAAGGTGATGTTGATAATGATTAATGTAGCGGATCATCTTGAAACAGCAGGACGGCAGAAAAAGGATAATGTTCATAATGATTAATGTAGATCTTGTTGAAACAGCAGCACGGCAGAAAGAAGATAATGTTGATAAGGATCAATGTAGATCTTCTTGAAACAGCAGCACGGCGGAAAAAGGATAATGTTGATAATGATTATAATGTAGGTTATCTTGAAATAGCAGCACGGAAGAAAAAGGATAGTGTTCATAATGATTAATGTAGATCATCTTGAAACAGCAGCACGGCAGAAAAAGGTGATGTTGATAATGATTAATGTAGATTATCTTGAAACAGCAGCATGGCAGAAAAAAAATGTTGACAATGGTTAATGTAGGTCATCTTGAAACAGCAGCACGGTAGAAAAAGGAAATGTTGACACTGGCTAATGTAGATCATCTTGAAACAGCAGTCTGGCAGAAAAAGGTGATGTTGATAATCGTTAATGTAGATCATCTTGAAGCAACAGCAAGGCAGAAAGAGGATAATGTTGATAAGGATCAATGTAGATCTTCTTGACACAGCAGCACGGCAGAAAAAGGATAGTGTCCATACTGATTAATGTAGATCATCTTGAAACAGCAGCACGGCAGAAAAAGGATAATGTTGATAATGATTATAATGTAGATTATCTTGAAACAGCAGCAGGGCAGAAGAAGGATAGTGTTCATAATGATTAATGTAGATCATCTTGAAATAGCAGCACGGCAGAAAGAGGAGAATGTTCATAATGATTAATGTAGAAAAGGAAGATGTTGGTAATTATCAATGTAGATCATCTTGAAGCAGCAGCACAGAAAGAAGAAAATGTTCGTATGTTTCTCTTGAAACAGCAGCGGCACAGAAAGAAGAAAATGTTCGTCCTGTAAGATCATCTTGGTAGGTTGTGTTATCAGGGAGAATATTTCAGAAGCTTACCGATATATATTGCACCAAAAACGGGAAAGCGCCGGACGGAGTTCGACTTTGTTTGTGTCCATTATCTTTCATTTTCATTCTGTTATTGGATTTTTGCAATTTTCACCAGCCTTACATTTACAATATTTACAACAGCTAACTCCGGCCACTCTGCAGGGACATGCATTCTTACAGCGCATTTACCACACTTGCACGGATCCAAAAGTTTGGTGATTACAATTTCAGGAACAGTTAAATTGTTTTTTTATTTCAAAGCCATAATCTTCGGCGTTCGGTTTATTTCCATCGTAGTTGGTTTTGAGCCATTCGACATAGATTGCTTGGAATGCGGTTTTGCTAGCGGAAGAAGACCAAAAGTTCTCCAGTTTAAGGGGGACTCGGTGGTTTGGAGAAATCGAATCCAAAACAATCATTTCATTTGACTTTCCTCTTCTCTGTCGTTCTACATTCTTGATGCTGTCTTCCTTGTAAGTGTCGAAAACTACGTGACAGACTAAATTTCATCACTGTTGCATCCAGCGTTGGCAATTATTTTAGTCAGGGCAGCTGCAAAGTCGTTGAATGTCTTCACAGGTGGTTCCAGTTTTTTCAATGGGATTTTTCTAACCATCGCCATGAAGTCGATAATATAAGCTTTGGTTGCTGGAGGTGTTGTCGGCCCTTTTGCGTCTATTTCTGGGCATAGCTTAGGATCTCTGTCGCCAACTGGGATTTTACACTCTTTTTCACATAGCCATCCTTGTCAACCAAGAAGAAAGCGGACCTGGTGATTTCATGGACGAGTAGCTCTTCTGCGGGGAAACCACAATGACGGCCATATTCAATAAACATCAGAGCTTTGATAGTCTTGTCTTTGATGTCTGTCTTCGAGGCCGAATGTGTCGAAACATGAGGCGAAGAATATTTGATCTTACTTATCGTGGAGTGTATGGAAACTTTTTTGTCTCGTAGACGATTTTCAACAAATTCAGCGAAAGCACCACCACCCATCTTTGTACAGCACAGCAGCTTGCTCACGTCTACTTTGGACACAATCTCTCCAGTAAGTACATTCTTGAAAGTCTCCAGATCAAGAAAGGGACTACAAACCTTCAGAAGGTAATTTTGTATTTCTTGCATCAATTCTTTTATCTTTTTTGCACTGCTCTGGTTAAAATTGTGATGAACTGACAGTTCTCCGTCTACATTATCTTGCATCTTAAGGAGATGAACGTATTCATCTTTCTTGTGTTTGATGATACCCCACAACGCCACTGCGTCTTTCTTTCTAGTAAAACCAATTATACCACCGCTAACTTTAGCGGGTCGGTTGTAGCTTTGCTCCAGAGCTTGGTCAAACCGAACCCCACTGCCTGTTCTCGGGGTATTTACAACAAATCCACCATCCATGTATGAGCTATAGAGAAGTGGAAACTTATCTTTTAATTGGCAACAATCCTGCAGGAATAAAGGTGTCCATCTACTATAGTTAGTCCGTCCAAAAAAGAAAAACAGCGAGGTTGCTCTTTCAACAGCACTAAGATAAAGTATCCAGTCACCAGAACGCATTGAATTTGTAAGATCTCGTGCTATTGGAAAAAGCTCGAAAACATACGTAAACCAATAAGCAAATGACTGGGATTGCCGTGATTTTTCTTTCATGAAATTTTGAAAGTCTTCCTCTATATCTTTAGACTGTTCCTTTATGGTGTTCGAATAATCAGTTGTCATCTCCTCAGATTGACAGTCTATTAGAAGGTCTTCAAATAGGACACTCTTTTCTGGATATTCTGCTTGGAATGCCTCTAGCATCAAGGACATGATAATCTCGTTGATCATAGAATGGGCTGTACGAGCCCTGGAATAATGGGAACCAGAAATCACACCATTGATAGTATCGGTACCATAGCACTCGGTTTCGACTAAAACAGAAAATATTCCCGACGGTTCCAAATATGCGCCAAGACACGCGAACACAACTTTTTCCATATGAAACCCTCCAAGACCAAGAAATATGTTGCTAAATTTATCTGGCTTTAGGAGTTGAATTTCTTTCGCAATGCGGTATACACCTTCGTCTGCCCACAAACCGCCATACGTATCTCCTTTCTGCTTCAGAGCGTCTTGGAAATTTATCATGGTGGTGAATATTGCATCGTATGTAGTAGCTGGATACGGTAAGATTGGAGTAAGGATCTTTGTGGTGTCATGAAAATTTAAATTAGTTAACGAGCTTCTAATGGCTGTGAATCCTGGAACAAAAGAATTTTCATCGACCGTCCTTTTGGATAATCGATTAACCAGCCACAGAAAATAGTCCAAACTGATTGATTTCATGGAAGGAATGCCGCTTGCATCTGCTATTGGACTTATTGTTGTTAAATGTACGTCATCTTCTGGCGTGATTGCAACCATCTCAGCTGTATTAGTTACACTATCAATTGATACGTTTCCAACAGGACATTCGTCTACGGTTGAGGAATTAGGCTCACCATTCGATACTACCGCGGTCAATGTATCTTGTGCTGATACGTCTCCTCTATGTTTTACTGGTCCCATCCGGATAAGTTCCTGACACGTTACCTTTGATCGTAGCCTGACTGAAATCCGATCTTGAAAAACAGGTAGTCTTGTCGAGATTTCACTTCCCTCGGATGGCTTTTCTTCATTGACTGGAACATTTTGGAAAAGTACAAGGATAGTGTCATGTGTAGAGCCTGTGCCAGCAAGTGTGCTTTCGTTGCGGTCAAAATTATCCATTGCTCCATTCAGTGGACTTTTGCTTCAAGAACAGCGGGAAGTGCCACCCTGTTGTCTCCTGCTATATTTATAATCCGTTCTGCGATATCAACGTTGATTCTCCTGACGGTGTTGTAGCTGGCACAAATACCGTGGCGATTCAATGCAGTTACGAGGTCTTTAGATCTTGTTAAACTATGGATTCCTTCAGCAACCATAATATGGAGAGGTGTTGGCTCTTTACCGCCACTCAAAGCGTAATGCAGAATTTGAAAAACTACGTCCATTTTAACTCGTGAAACCTGTCTTCCATGGAACAAATGCGAACAAAATTTTTCCCATGTCGGTGGCGGGTTCTTTAGCAACATGTTTGCTGATAACTGCAGATCTCGTGGTTCACAAAAGCTATCTTCCAATCCAAATGTGTAATCTTTCAACTCCTGCGCTATTGTGGTTGCAACTTGTTGGACAGATGACACTCGCATCGCTTCTACCAAACTTTGTGGATCTCGTCCTGTCGAAAACACCATCTGAGATATCCGTTTGTTGCTTGGATAAGTAAAGCAGACATCGCCGCCATATAATTCGATGATCAATTGCTTGACAGTTCTGTTGGTAACTGTAGAACTAAAAGTTGAATTTTCATTTAGCTTCTCTCTGATAAAAGAAAGACTGTATGCCGTGTTCTGAAAGTCAAGTTCTAATGCCAGAAACCTTTCCTTCAGAATTTCGTCTCCTGCTGCCACGGATTCCTCAGCCTCCAGACTTTTCATAATTTCCACAATTTTCAAGTTGTACTTGTTGAAGTATTCTTTACAACAATAGCTGTGATAGTAGATATCTGCTGCGAAAACATCTTCCGGACCACACATCGCTGCTGTTTCAGTATATACACGATCTTGGAGCAACTTAGCTGCATTTAATAACTTTAGAGCGATTTGCTTTTCACAGATTCTTAGTAACTTATGTACTTTTTGCTGCTTTACGGTCTTGCAATCTGAGCCACAAATTACACATACCCGTCTCATATCATTCGTTTTAATCCTTTTTCTGCGTTGATCGTTATAATTTTCTGCATCATCGATGGCTACAGATGGTTCTGCATCGTTGCTTTCTTGCTTTCTTTTCTTTTCCATATCTCTCTGAAATTTCTTATAACACGTTGATGAGTGGTATTTCATAATTTCCATTTCTTGAACTGATAAATCTGCGACCCTTTTAGCCCGACTGTCATCACCGCCATCTTCTTTTGCAAGAGAAATAATGCGTGCCCTACCCGTTTCACCACTCGAAAGGTAATCGGATCGCGTTTTTGTTTGGCATAATATACATTCGTCCAATCTCGTTGGCGTCGATGATTTGCGCGTAGAAGAACAAGCTACGAGGGGCACTTCGTCCTGAAAAATGGGTGAAGCTCTAGCGTCGCATGTGATAGTAGTCATACTTAATTTTGCAAAACAATGCAAGGTTTACATGACTTAAATGCTTTTAAATACGTAACCATTGGACAGACTATATGATTCTATCAGGAGTAGATGCATTACGTCAAATCATTGAAACAAAAAAAAACAGCCAACAAACGACGAACAAACACATTAGCCTTTACTTTTTCTAGTCATTGCTATAATTAAGCCCATTCTACACCAGGTGATTTTGTTTGCGCGAACAGAAAATAAAGTAGGGCCTGATCCAACGTTTTCACGGCGATTTTTTTCGCTGACCAATTAGGTTTGCACTATTGGTTTTTTTTCTTCGCACAGGCAGGTTCCCCTAGTGAAAAATGGGCTTTGGACCGGTCACGCGTTTTCGTGTCATTTAAGGTGGCTTCATACATTTTTTTAAAAAAATGGACGATTTCAGTCTGATTTTGACATGAATTGTGGGCAATAATTATTTGTTGAAAACAAAAGAGTGTTTTCATTTGACTGAAAACAATAACTATAAGGAGACGGGAGTTTTTTAAAAATTTCCTACTAACAGTTAATTTAATTCGAACATTAGGTTTGTGAACCCCATTTTTATTATATAGCATGATTTCTTTTAGTACGTTGAATCATGTTCGTAGTTTTAAAAAATTATGTTATGCCAATAATTCGTAACATCAGTGCTGGACTATTACACTGGGAAAAAAGTGAAATCCATTCTGAATCCAAAATCCATTCTATTTCCAATAAAGGACGTCCATACAATTTTCATTCTATGACCTTCTATTGGTTTTCAAAATTTTTCCAGTGTTATACGCACCGTATGGAGCCACCTTAATTAAGAATACTCAAAAACAACACGAAAAATAAAAATGATATTTAATACGGTTAACAAAACTAAACGACAAAACTTAGTGAATTCAATTATTTGGTTTCTAAAAGTGTTTTTAAAAACATCTTTAAAAACAAATATTTTTTGTTTAGCTAGATGCATTTATTACACGTGCACGTGTTATGGAAAACGTGTGACAGTCTAGTCTATCTATGTTTGATTCAGCTTTAATATAAAGCCTTTAAGAAATAATCTAAAAATATGTTAACTTAAGTTTGTGCTGCAGATATAGTTTGTGCCTTATACAAGATGAATGGTTGAAGCTTACAAGCCAAAAAAGAGAATACAATCATCGAATGTTTGTTTTATTTCTTGTAGTGACAATTAAATATAATATTAATATAAACATGTCATGCAAATTAAATGTTGATTGTTGGTCTTACCATACTGCGTGCCTTGCCTTGGCTTTGCTTTAATCTTTAAAGACTCCACCCAGCTACAAATTTTCCTCAAGGTGTTTATTAAACTTTGTAAGTTAAGGGTGAATCGGCAACAGCTTTTCGATATAACAAACGCACTCGTTTAGAATAAGCTCGAATTAATAAAACGACTAAACACGAGCTATTAGCTCGAGTTATTAATAGTAACATTCTAAAAATAACAAGTTACAGTTTATACTTGACGTTAATTAAAATATGAACTTTATATAATATATTTGTAGCAAAATACGTAGAAAAATATGCGTTATTAGTTTAGGAAAGTAGTATTCAGTAAATAACAGTGCAGTTTAGGATGTATTTTAGAGTTAGCTTTCACTTATAGTTCAGTTTTTATTCTACAACAATATATTCAACTAAAGTTAATTAAGTCAGCTTGGGTTCCTATTGTCACACGCAGCCTTCCTCAAATCTTCAATCTTCGCGAAAAAACATTCACCCCCCTGTCACGGAAATTGCTACGGTCAGATTAAGGGAGGAGATATTCATATCTTCGTGTGCACAGACTGTAAAAACAATCGATTTTAAAACAAATTAATTGGGCAGAACACGAATATACTGAATATCTGCCACCCCCAATTATCGATATTTCGGCGCCTCTGGGTGAGAGGCAGGTATAAATTATCAAATTATTATTGATTAGTAGTGTTGTAGAAAAATATGCGTTATTAATTTAGAAAAGTAGTATTTAGTATATAAAAGTGCAGTTTAGGATGTATTTTAGAGTTAGCTTTCACTTTTCAACTAAAGTTAATTAAGTCAGCTTGGGTTCCCTATTGTCACACGCAGCCTTCTGCAATCTTCGCGAAAAAACATTTACCCCCCTGTCACGGCATGTTGCTTTGCCCACGCGAGATTTGTACGAAATGTTTTGAAAGACTCGTGAGCAACACCTTACAGGGCGGTAAAATGATGCATTTCGCATTTTTCATTTGTATTTTTAATTGTAATACCCTTAACACAGGGTTAAATTTGTCGTTATTGAATGCAAATGGATTAGATACAAAAATAAAGAGACCGAATTGTTGACAACCGACACGGGACTGCAAAATGGCGCCGAATTTGGGCAAAGTTGATGTTTTACATTGTCGATGGTTAAACAGCTAGGATCTACTTGAAACCAAGTTAAACCTTGTTTAAAATGTTCTTGATACCATTATGTCTGAGATGATTTACATTTTTGGAAGAATGTCGAAGAGATTGCCGATAAACAGCGGAGTAAAGTGGAGAACTTGGCCAAATACGTCCATTTCCAAAAGGTAGGCACATTTCAAATTATTATTTCGCTCAGAAAATATTAACTATTTTACACCAAACCAGTGGTAATGTATTTAGATATGTACCAATTATGTTTCTATAAAAAAGATTTAGGGAAAAAGGTAAAGTAAGTCCACTGCTGTTTAGCTGAAGTTGCAAGCCACAAATTGACGTTTAACTATGATTATTGAATGGCCATTTTCTTGTGAAATATCAGTACTAGGCATTTCACACTTACCAATGACCACCCCCAAAAGTACCATCTCTGAACCATATAAGCACCTCAGGATAGCCAAAGCTTTTATGGTTTGGTAGATAGCACTATGGCGAAAGCGTCGTTTTTGGGTGTGGTCAGTTTCGGACGTTTCGTCCCGGATTGGGGTTCGGGCAGCGTTACCATGTTGACCGTCATGGTCAACTTGCCCAAAAACAGTTGAGATTATCTGTCCTAAATGAAATGCATACAAACTCATATACAGGTCCTAGACTAATACTGCAATTGACTACATTCGACTTTTCTATAATAATTCACAAAATGAAGTTTGCTCAATATGAACTTGAGGTGAAAAACCCACCTGCATAAAACAGGACGGAGAATATAAAATCACACGTCTCTAACTCTAGAGTTCTGACTATAAATGTCATTAAATTCAAGCTTATATAACTCCTGGGAAAACCTCCGAACAATTAAATGGAAAGTCGATTATTCTTCATAAATCTAGATAGATAAGTTGGAAGATACCTCATACAGTGTTTTTGTTAAAGGTTTAATGTATTTGTTTTTCGATTGAACACATTTCCATCCACCATGGGCCTGCAAAGATAAATCTGATAAGTGCGAACAACCGGGATCTGAAGCACCTCCGCTTCTTAGACTATGAGTTCCCAATTTCCTGAGATCGTCAAAAAATATACCCAAGTTTTTCTTGATTATGTCTTTCGCCGTAGTATAAGATATTCCACGGGACTCATGAAAGCTCCGACCACTTTGGCGTACTTAATTCTACGTACAACTGGATTACAAGAATCAGAATTGTCAGGTAACATTTGGAACAGTCTCTCGGTAATAGCATAGACAATCCAGAAGACAGGGACTGCATGGAAACGCCTAATGTTTTGCGCGTGCCATCCGTGATGCGCTTGCGTGAGCAGCGTGACGCTTGCACATCTGCCATTCCAAGTTCCAAAATCCAAAACGAATAAACGATTAATATTGATGTATTATCCGCTGTTTTTATACAGCTCTTTATACTGGAAGATTGTTTAAATAATTTACACCGAAAAGGGAGTTAGGTATATCACATTGTGTATAAAGTTTATAAAGCAAATCTGCTTAATATCCAGAGACGAGTGCAAAGAATTTTCGAGCTTCTTCGAAAATTTTGATTTCCATTTTGGAGTGGACTTTCAGGCACGATTCAGGTTTGTTTGCTTATTTTAGTTTTCTACAATTAATTAAACTTACGTATATTTATTTAGTTATGCTTGACTGCATTTACGTTATAAATTGTTCAAGTTACCTTTTCGATAGTTTTTTAGTCTTTTTTGTTCAAAAGTACAGTCAGACAAGAATGCCAATAGCGACTTTTTACAGTCAAAAACATTACGCAAGCATTCAAAGGACGTTTTTGGTTTTGTTTGACTCAATATAAGTTTAAAAACCAGATAAGTGCATCCACAAATCTATTTTTGTTCAAAATATGTAAATTACAAACCCTGAACTTTATTTAAACTATAGTTATACAGGGTTCGAATTGGTGGCAACAAAAATGGCCTTCTTGTAGTTGGCGTAAAAGTAGCATCGTGAAAAAGGCTTGTTTTTGCCAAATTGGCGAATCGCAAAGATTTTTTGATCCGCTAAAAGCACTCACATTGCATTTAAGATTATAAATGATGATGTATGCAGACAAGTGATAGCTTTATCTTCAAGTTCCAGGGTTCGAAGCGAGTACGAACTCTGACAACAACAATGGCGAGTTTTTTACAGTCAAAAACATTACGCAAGCATTCAAAGGAGGTTTTTGGCTTTGCTTGACTCAATATAAGTTTAAAAACCAGATAAGTGCATTCACAGATCTATTTTTGTTCAAAATATGTAAATTACAAACCCGGAACTTTATTTAAACTATAGTTACAAGGCTCGAATTGGGGGCAACAGAAATGGCCATCTTCTAGTTGGCGTAAAAGTAGCAGCGTGAAAAAGGCTTGTTTTTACCAAATTGGAGAATCGCAGAGATTTTTTGATCCGTTAAAAGCACTCACAGTGCATTTGAGATGATAAATGTATGATATAGCAGACAAGTGATGGCTTTATCTTCAAGTTCCAGGGTTCGAAAGATATGTATTATCGTACACGTATTTTTCGTGCGCCATTTTGATGTAAAGGTTCTGGCAAAACTTAAAATTTTATTACTATTCACCGTCAAAATAACAAATTAAATCCTACATACCTTGGCGTATATTTTCTTTTTACAGTGATATAAAAAAATCAAAATTTGAAAAATACAAAAAAGCAAAAACATGCAAAAATATAAAACAACATTTATGTGTTTTTTTGTTCAGATTAAGGCGGGTTGCTGGGGCAACGGATAACTGCTACGTGATTTAGCCGCATCACGGATGTCGCGTCAGCATCATTGCTTTTGCCACTGCGTTTCCAGTCCCTGTCTTCTGGATTGTCTATGGTAATAGCCACCGGACAAGTGGACTTTCCGGATCTGGTTATATGAATCGTATTTCCCGATCTAAACTGATCGTTCTTACGTCGTGGAACAAAAATAGACATACCATGCGAGACAATTTCTATATGCTTTAATTGACTCTTTAATTGGATGGCCAGTATTTCACTTATACGTAAGAATCTGCTGTATCCAACTAGTAGAACAATAAAGAGTAGACGAAGATCG